CAATATTCAAGCAATATCACGGCACGGGACACCAGAAATAGGCTTCCCACATTGCGCCCATGTGGGGAATCGAACCCGGGTCTTCGACGTGACGAGCCAATACTTCAACCACTAGGCTACCCCACCGCCCCACAACCACAATCGAAGTGATGGAACACGGTCAAAGTCAAATGGCTCTTTGGCCCACTGATGTAAAATTCTATTATTTATTTCATCAAATGAAAGCACTATTCATAGGATTTTCAGAAATATATCATTTGGGCATGTCAGTACTACATTATAAGAAAAGACCATGATTAGTTTACGAAAAGTAGTAACAACAAATAAAGTGAGACATTTGGTAAGGGTGATAACGGTGTATCATATTATCTGATTTTGATATTATCTCTACATTTTGACTAAGAGTATATACATATACAAAAACGATAAAAAGTGGAATCAAAAGGACTCCAGTGACAGTAGACACTCGGTCTCAAGGTGTTCAGCTCATTCAGCTCGTAAAGGCCCGAACACCTCATCAGTGACACATGCAACACATACTAATAAGTCGACTGACTGACTGGCTGAGTTTGGTTTTACGCCGCTTTTAGCAATATTCCAGCAACATCACGGCGGGGACACCAGAAATGGGCTTCACACATTGTACCCATGTGGGGATTCGAACCCGGGTCTTCGGCGTGACGAGCCAACGCTTTAACCACTAGGCTACCCCACCGCCCATACTAATAACTCGAAGGTTGAGATGATTATTCGTGTGTTTATATACAGACTTGAGTGTCTCACTGGCCATAGTGACCGGACATTTTATATGTAAAACTGGAATATTTAATATGTACATGCAGTACATTGCACATTTAACATAAATGTAAATTCTTCTTCTTCTTCTTCTGCTTCTGCTTTCTTCCTCCTTCTCCTCGTTCAGCTTCTTCATTATGCGTCTGAAGACCAACTGCCGCCTTCTGCAACAACGCAGTTTCATTCAAACACAGTTTCAATATCATTACGGGGTGATGGGGTGGCCCAGTGGTTAAAGCGTTCGCTCGTCACGCCGAAGACCCGGGTTCGATTTCCCACATGGATGCAATGTGTGAAGTCCATTTCTGGTGTCCCCCGCCGTGATATTGCTGGAATATTGCTAAAAGCAGCGTAAAACTAAACTCACTCATTCATTATTATTACAAAGATGTCAAGGGTGCCGGACACATAGAGTTCCATCGCCTTGGAGTGGTATGATCATATCATCGTGGGTTCGACTCCAGAAACTGCCTGATTATGTCCCTTGGTCCTTCTGTCTCGCGAGTAAACGTCTTAGATCTGCGGCTCATATCTCCCATAGCGGCAAGAATTACGATGTAGAAATAGTGAGCCACGAGAGAGGTAATGGTTAAACCCATGGGTTAGGCATTAGCGTATTTTAAATATTGTTATCATTTAATAATCCTTTAATGTCAAAACCAGCATTACTATAATTATATTGTTATCGTGCTCGGCATCGTCATTAACGTCTTCCGCATTCAGCACGTTTTCAATATCAACTCTTCCCCTCTCTCCGGCAAGCGTATTTACTTGGCCAGGCGTCTTGACAAGTCGGTCACGTGACCGGGTCTCAAGGACGCCAGGTATCGATCTATTTCCGAATTCGGAGGCGCACGACCCGATCACGACCCATAGAAACCCTGCATTCTCCTGGGTAGCGTGGATTGATTATTGCCACTCCCTGAACTGACGATCTCCTTTCATCCAGACCCAAGGCCCGTCTCAGGATACAAACTCGGATGAAAACACTATCGTGTTACTTGATTTATGGAAAGATATATAATAGCTGTCTTCCCACGTGATGGTGTCGCCTGGCATCCAGAAACCTTTTGTAGAAACGGTACAAATGGAACCATTGTGTTCTATTGTAACTCAGTGTCTAAAAAAGATTATTCAAAATATTTCAAGAGAAACGACCCAAGGCGCCGAGACACGTCTTTAGCATTGACGACAATGTTGAAAAAAGCCATCTGTAGAGAATAAGATGGTTCTCATTATTTTGGTAGAACCATGAAAATATTCTGGCAAGATATGATCTTCTTCAGCCGATGCTTGTCGTAAGAGGCGACTAAAAGGATCGTGTGGTCAGGCTGGCTGGCTGGGTTGATGCACGTTATCGTTTGTTAATTACGTGTAGACAGACGCGCATGGTTTCAATCACGGCATTGATCGGCCCAGATTCTATCATTTACACCGCCTTTAACAAACAATACAAAAACGCAACAACATAACTCATGTAAAATCACTAGTTGTGAAGCATAGTCGGTGTTATATGAATGATTATATACACATGTCCATACATTTCTCTCCGACCTGTTATTTAGTATCATATAACTACAAAGTATATAAGGTACAGATGTTGTATTTACATGATTCCCTTGAAAAAACATAACATTCCATACTATCCGCGTGGTAAACCTATGACAGCATCATCTTCATACCTTAACATTAAAGAAGCACGACATCAGCAACTACGTCTACTACATCCCTCACGACAGAACAACATGCCAGAACATGAGAATCAAGGGCACATTTTAAAACTCGCAACACATGTCTGGCTGACTCGTAAATTATAGATTACAGATGACATAAGACCAAAATTAGTCTTTTCGTATTTTTTTTATATCCTAAAGAAACAATTTATTTTCTTGGAGTTTGACCAACAAGGAGGATTGAATCATTGGCAGCGTGTTTGTCGAGGATTCTTGGCCCGCTCAGACGCCGCGCTCAAAGCCAGATCGCCGCGTGCATAGTCTGAAATATTTCGCCGGAAGACCACATCGGTTGCCATGGAAACAAACGTGTGTTCGATCGCTAACCATGCCTTTAGCCCCATTGATCCGCGTTATCCAGGCGAGGAGGGGGACGCGGGGAAGGGAGGAGGAGGGGTGATGTCTGCTGGTCGACGCTCGAGCGATGGAGTCACTTTATCTCCGTCCACTCCCCTCCTCCCCTCCCCAAGAAGCCTCTGTCGTCGACGTCGTGGCATTGATCCAGACGCGCCACAGATGCAGTCACCATTTCTCCGAGGATCACACTTCCGACTTGTGTACACGCGTTTCCATGGCAACAGAGAAATCGATGGTATTACAGAGTACATTTTGCTATGTTCCATCGGAATATGTTCAAAATAAAATCCAGCGAACCAGTCTAGATGCATTAAATACACTAGCAGTCGGGATATTTATGACTAAACGACGTTAAATATATCATCTAAAAGACTCGGGAATGAAAATGAATATGCTATCCTATCTATGGACATATGGCGCCATGTACCGATGACTGAACGTAATATCTAGAGGATATATTTAGTTATTCCATTTGTACTTCATTTAGTCTATAGTTCCCCAACTGGGATCTCGAGTAGCTGAAAGAATAATGCATATCAATAGCCACTCCCAACCCGATGTGAGGCCACTCAAGGGAACTCTATGTGGACACATACTGCATATAGACACTACGTTGGTTGATCAATGTTGCTTTAGGAATTTACATAAAACACTTTAATGGAATCACCCCTCACCCAATATATAAAAAATAGTGAACTTTTACTCCTGGTTTTATTTTAACATAACAAAACTGCGGACCTTTTTCATTTTTTAGTTATTATGTCATGACATGTGATTTATAATCATATTGATATCATTTGTTTCTTAACCTCTTTAGGGGCGGTGGGGTAGCCTAATGGTTAAAGCGTTGGCTCGTCACGCCGAAGACCCGGGTTCGAATCCCCACATGGGTACAGTGTGTGAAGCCCATTTCTGGTGTCCCCCGCCGTGATGTTGCTGGAATATTGCTAAAAGCGGCGTAAAACCAAACTCAGTCAGTCAGTTTAACCTCTTTAGGGCGGTATTGCTATATATCTACTATTGTAATAAATGTACGTGGTAGGTAATTATAGATCTAGAGCAATAGGTATGTCCAGTGAAAACGTTTTGGAACGACAATAGTCTCATTCATTCAGTGTGGATTATTGAAGAGACTTGTTTGTATGTTTGTTGTTTAACGTTGCACTCCAATGCCCCAGGTGAGGTGATGTTAGAGACGTGCAAATTGTGAGATGTATGTGACTCGAGCCGACCAGTCCTTGTTGTACCCATTAATGTACCATATTTGTTTAACGTTGCACTCATCAATGCTATGACTGTATGATTGACGGCGTTATGTACGAAGTCTCATCTGGATCAATCAAGTGATTGACATCATGAGCATCAATGCCCTCAATTTCTGTATGATAACATGCAGCGTCACGGAGAGCGGAAGGATACCGAACCTGACCACCATCAACAAAATCAAAATGCTTCTGATTGAGCGAAATATTCTCAAGCACGACGTTAAACCCAATTTCATCACCTCACCTTCATATAATCTCCCATATTCTTATCACGACATATATATATATATATATATATATATATATATACCTCTGCGTTGCTGGCAATCTGTCTATTGTTCCTAATTCTGCTCGTTTTATCTCATTAACGTTTTATGTATGTTATGTTTTAAATTTTTGCGTCTGTAGAAAATGAAACTTGTCGATTGTAATTGACTGTTGGTGATACTGGAAGACAAAGCTTTATTCATCATGCTCACTCAAACAGGCATTTTGGCTATGCGAGACCGCAGTCCTAAACACTGACGGGGATATGTCTTGTATCGGTGGAGTTGTCTCCCTTTACGCGTCCGGAAAGCGGGTCAGCTTCCTGAACTCAACAGCAGTCTGAAATGAAAACATTGTACTGAAAAATAATTGCTTTGGAAATTTCTTAAGAATGTATATAAAAAGGAGACGAGGGGCTTCCTTTTGAGACTGAATTAATCTTGACTTGAAAACTAGGCTGACTTGCAAGGTGTGTTGAATACGAGAAAGAGAGTTATATCAAATATTCAGGTATTACACATCATAACGGAGGTTTTATGAATGTCAACTCCTTTATTATGGGGAACGCGATGTTTCGGGGTACATCCTTACTCCTTCATCAGGTGAATGAATGGTATGATGATGATGATGATGGTTTGAGGTTTAACGTCGGCTTCTGACTGTAGCCAATGTCGCCGACGGGGTAGGTGGGATATAAGATAATAATTAATAAGTTTATAATAAGGAATAAACCACCGTACCCAAAAAATGTAAATGCTGGGGCGTTAACCTAAGTGGAATTTGGAATAAAAAACGTTTAAAACAGATAAACGAAATAAAATAGTAAAAGCCGAGTTTATGAAGGGAATAGAGAAATAAAAAGGGGTAATGATTGTTAATAGGTAAGAGATAGGATTAAATTAAACGATAGATAGTGTAAAAGGGGCCTAGGATGTGGGTGGGGGTTGGGGAGGAGGGGGTAAGTTACAAACACGTATAGCATAGTGGGCATAGAATGTAGATGCAGTTAAGCTGCATTAGTTTAATAATGGGGCTATATAAAGAAGGAAAAGGGGTTAAGCTGGGGTGGATGTGAGGAGGGGGCGCGGGGGGAGCGTGGTATGAGGCAGAGAACATATACACTGTATATGTACATGTAAGAACAACAAAAGTAATAAGTCAACAAAGATGGAGGCTAAACAATGGAAGCCAACACTTAACTGGCGTTGATGTGTGATTAGCAAAGAGCAATTGGAACCCAAGACTTTACAGTTAATTAGCGCAGTATAGAAGCCAGCACTTAACAGTTAAATAGTATTGATAGGTGATGAACAGTGGACAGCTGGAAGCAGGGATTACTTTATAGGAATGGACTAAGGGCAGATGGGAGGTAGCGGTTAATAGCCCTGATAGATAAACGCAACAGAGATTGACAAATTGGTGCCAGAACAAACACATGGAAGCCAGAACAAAATAATTAGCACCAACATTCATAAGGCAATAAGTACAGACCACAATCAAACAATGATCAAAGCAATATGATATTTTATTTATATAGCGCACATATCCAGGCAACTATAGTGCTTGCTCAAGGCGCTGGTATTATTTCCCTCGATCATTGGATGTCAGTCTCAACGGCACATAGTGTTATCAATCTCAACTCCCTGGGGACCATACAACTCTTGCAGCCACAAGGCACACCGAGTTATTGTGGCCTTCTCATCCTAACGAGGTACCCATTCACAACTGGGTGGACTGGGACACATAGTCACAGTACTTTGTCCCAAGTTCGCTGCGCGTTGCTGTACCCGCAACTTGGTGTTTGCACGTATTCATGTGGCCACCATCTGGTCATATACCAACGGATTCGTGGGTTCTTGTAAGTGCACAGGGATGTGTACTGTACACTAGGGGTTGTGACAACACTGAAAGGGTCTGCACACAAAGTTGACTCCGAGGGTTTTACATCCGGTCACAGGTGGGCTCGATCCCGACACCTCAAGCTCGCTGGATCATTAGCCTGGCACCTTAGCCAGCTCGCCCACCGCGCAATAAGTCCCAGGCACTGGGCAGGTGGGTTCCCTGGTCGCAGTTCATGGCTGGCTGGTGTCTCCTGATGTCAATGGCTTCTTCCAGTTTTCTTTGTTGCCAGTTGTTGTTGGTGGTGGACAGACCTTTGTTGGCTTCCAACATGATGTGTTGACAAAGAAAATTACCACACCCAAGGAAATTCGTTTTAACTACAATGAAATCGTTTCCAAAACAACCTAGAGAGGTGCATTTTCACTTTAACACATAATTCATTTTAGTTTTTAACGAAAAAGATAGATGGCGTCTGTAGAGGCGTCTCTTTGTAAGGAGTTTGTAATTACGATGACAAATATTTTTATCTGGTGGTGTTAGTTATTTAGGCTTAGTTATGGAGGGTTCGTGGATATTGTTGACACCATAGTCAGCAATATCTATGGTCGTCCGTGGATAATCGGGTGTGGGTCAGACAAACCAGTGACTGGCATCATGAGCATCTTCCGAGACATTAGGGTGAGTGAGTGAGTTTAGTTTTACGCCGCACACAGCAATATTCCAGCTAAATAGCGGCGGTGTGTAAATAATCGAGTCTGAACAGACAATCCAGTGATCAACATCATGAGCATCGATCTACACAAATGGGATACGATGACATGTGTCAACTAAGTCAGCGAACCTGACCACCCGATGCCGTTAGTCGCCTCTTACGACAAGTATGGGTTTCTGAAAAGCAATTATAACCCAGATCTTCACGGGTCCTGAGGCATTAGGGGTACGATGTCACATAGTAACTTAGTAAGCCAGATACTTTTATCCACCCTTTCTTAATATAAGTCATCTCTTCAGCAAAAGCTGAGAACTGGGGCGTCACGCCGAATGCCCGGTTTCGATTTCCCACATGGGTACAATGTGTGAATTTCATTTCTGGTGTCCCCCGCTGGAATTTTGCTAAAAGCGACGTAAAACTAAACCCACTCACACACTCGAGTCTCGGACCAGGAGAGGGAGGCATAGGGAACAGCAAGCAGCGGCATTATGCACTATCTATAGCTGTCCTAGTTGACATGAAACTGAAGGTCACGTCTGAGGCGGTCCTGCTCAGTCTCACAAAATCAATACCTTATCTCAGATCGAAATGTGGTTCCTCTATATTACTAATGTCTAAAAATAGTTGTAATACTTGACGAGACAGTTCTACAGAATCCGGAGATCGGGGACAAGACGAGTCTCTTAACTCCAAAGTGGCGATGTACAACAATGCCCGACTACGATGCGAAAAAAGAAACTATAGAACAAAATAAAACGAAACCGTTCATAAAGAGATGTAGAATATCGGTTCCTAACACATTCCAATCTCAAGACCCATCTGGTCAAAGACATATAGAGAATGATACGGGACAAATGCTTTTGAGCAGTTATATGACTGGATTATTATATAATCTTAGTTTGATGATGATGATGATGAAAAGAATATAAATGTTGTAACGGTTATATATTTATAATAATTTGTTATGAAGCAGACACTTCTCTCTGCTAAGGAAAGGATTTGAAGACTCCCACAAATATGTCCAGACGCAGCTAGATCAGCCAAATTCTTTCAAACACACGGGACGTGGGGAAGCCTAGTGGTTAAAGTGCTCGTTCGTTACGCTGAAAGTCCGGGTTTAATTCTCGACATGAGTAGACTATGTGAAGTCCATTTATAGTATCCTATGAAAGAACGAGTAAAACCAGTCATACATAATAGTACCTCATCACCATATGACCCGTGGAGATCCGGATTTGAATTGGTAGCCCACGCTTGTTGTAAGAGGCGACTAACGGGATCGGGTGGTCAGGCTCGCTGACTTGGTCAGGGGCGTAGCAACCATTATAAATAAAAGCCCAGGCTTACACATGATTTTTGCTTACAAGGTTGGGCACCCTCTTAATACTATCTAAATATAAAACTTTGCAACCTATGGGACTTACATGAAAAAATTGGCTTGCTACGCGCCTGTTGGTTGACACGTCATCGTATCCCTGTTGCGTAGATCGATGCTCATGCTGTTTATCACAGGATTGTCTGGTCGAGACCCGATTATATACAGACCGCTGTCATAAAGTTTACATATTGCTGAGTGCGGTGTTAATGAAGCAACAAACAAACACAATCATCATCATATTGTGTCTTTTTACGCCGAACTAACACCTAGAAAATTAAAGCGGACTCTACCATGAGGATGCTTTGTTCGTTAACGCCGCCATCAACAATATTCCAGGATTTGATGACAGTTTTAAATTAATCAAGTCTGGGACTATAGACAACGCAGTGGTTACAGGATTTTAAATCTGCCTTAAGTCCCAGATAAAGAACGACAAATATAGGTTCAAGAGTTTGTCAAATCCTCCACTGTCGCTTAAGGTTAGGATGTAAGGATCCGACTGCAGATGCCATGAATGTATACAACCATCATGATTGTAAGTTTCCAACTACATGTCATACCATCTACTTTCATTTTAGATATCATCTTTTCTTGTCATGATACTGTTTCATGTATCTATGGATATTGGAGCGGTCTTCATATAAGTTCTTTTGAGCTTGTTGACTAATCCAGTTCATGAAAATTCTGTCGTTGCTTTTTTCATGAAATAAATATGTTTAAACCACACATGAACACCGGCCTCCACCAACTGGAATAAATGCATCAACCCAGTGAACACTTTAATGGTTTCATTTAAACACATTATGGTTTCGACGCCGCGGTGTTGGCCTGTGTTAAAGTATAGGCGAAATGCTGAGACATTGTCATGTAATTGTCTTCCATACAGGTATGTTTGTAGTGTTTCGGTAGTTACTGGTATTAAACTACTAGATCACTGAAGATCCGGGTTATAATTGGTCTTCAGGAATCTATGCTTGTCGTAAGAGGCGACTAACAGGGTCAGGTGGTCAGGCTCGCCGACTTGGTTGACAGATGTCATCGTATCCCAATTGCGTAGATCGACGCTCATGCTGTTGATCACCGGACTGCCTGGTCTAGACTCGATTATTTACAGACCGCCGCCATATACCTGGAATATTGCTGAGTGCGGCGTTAAACTAAACTCACTCACTCAATCACTGAATAAAATAAATGTTATAAAAAACAAAATATAACATCAGCAAGTAATAGCTGAAAGAGGATTTTAAAAACACAAACTGAAAGAAGTACATACTCGAATTATGAGTCCAAAATGAATAAAATATAACGATATGTTGCCAACGGAACATTGTTGCGTGTCTTAACTTGTACTGAAAGGAACTACTCATGACTCAGACATTAAGCTGCAAAAAACCCCAGGAACATCATAAAATGCTATTCCTGTGACAATGTTAGCTGAAGAAAACTCGCTGTATTTTTTCCTCTAAACACTCTATACTGTACCATATCATGCCGGACCTGAACGTCTCAGATCGTGTAACTGCGTGTAATTTTCCTGACACAAAGGTACCTGTAAAAAACCCAGCTGTTTATATTTATCCAAAAGACTGCCTTCAAGCTGATCGTTTGACTATCATGCGTTTTTGCATCTCAGATTTTGTGCTGCAGCGACTTTGAGATACCCTCATCAAGACTCCGAAATGAACCTAATTTACAGAAAAAATACCCGGAAAATATCTTCATAATATATAATAAAAAGGATGGCAGAGACTTTCTTCATTGTTGGAAACGTTGGTAATCTAGACTTGCCACATATTCTATATTTGCTAAATCTGGGTATAATTGTTTCAGGGTCTGTATGACGGACTACTGCTTTGACAAAAAGACGCTGGTTGACACATGCCATCTTATCCCAATTACGCAGATCGATGCTCATGCTATTGAACACTGGGCTGTCTGGTCCAAACTCGTTTATATACAGACCGCGGCCGTATAGCTGGAATATTACGGAGTGCGGCTTCAACTAACAAACAAACAGATGCACACTAAACGCTGATGTAGGTGATTGAAGGGCTAGTAAAATGCCATTCGCTGCCGGTGTCATCGAGTTGAATTTAGAGTTATCTCCCCTGTTTCATGACATCATGCATTCTTAACTTCTTTGAGAGGCATTTAGAAGTTGGATAAATAAGGAAGGGTGGCAATATATGGATGAGCAACTTCTTTATTACAGTGAGAGCGACGTTTCGGTGTAGGTTCTCACACCGTTATCAAGCAAGTGATGAACAGAACGAATTTTGGGGTTTAACGTCGG